CAATGAAACAGTTAGGTTAACAGAGAGAGAGAGAGAGAGAGAGAGAGAGAGAGAGAGAGAGAGAGAGAGAGAGAGAGAGAGAGAGAGAGAGAGAGAGAGAGAGAGAGAGAGAGAGAGAGAGAGAGAGAGAGAGAGAGAGAGAGAGAGAGAGAGAGAGAGAGAATAGGATTTGGGCAAACTTTTTTTCTATTCACTTACTCAATTAGGGTACAAATGATTACAAGTGAATAACAACAATTGACATCTCTCAACAACCTAAGAGATCTAGCCTATTTATAGGCTACTAAGTTAACTTAAATAACTAGCTAACCTAAACAATTGGATCCATAACACAAGGCCCAATTCGACATTACATACAAGAACTAACTTCGACTACAACATGTAATACTTTGACATTAGCATATGAACCAACTTCGATTTCATGCTTGTCTTCTGTCGAAACCTGAAAATTATCCCTGCTGACAACATCCTCGTCGACAACATATTTTAGATTGTGGGGGCAAAATTTATAAATTTGTTATGCTAAAAAAATAAGATATTATTCAAAAATAAGTATTATAATTTTTTTTCTATAATTTTTTTATTAATTAAAAATTATTAATAATTTTTTTATTTTTTATTTATAATTATACAATATATTTTATCTTCACAAATCAACTAATAGTTCATAGATCATTAATTTTTATTTAATTTTAAGAATATAAAATAAAAATATATCATTTAATAAATTATTTTGGAGTATATTTAAAAATGAGATAAGTATCTAATGGAATATACTAGTATACTATCAATTTTATTATTACTAGCATTCAGACGGGCACTCTCGTGCACGTCTGTCCACTTTTTTTAATGCGCACAATATAGAAAAATAAACGTGTGTATATTTTGTATGAAGTTTTTATCATACTTAAGATTAAATAAAAATAATGTTTTTAGATATTCTCAAGCAGTCTTAAAATCAGGATGATAAATTTATATATACTAAAAATACTTTAGTGAATTAACTATATATTAATGTTACTATTATTTTAAACATGCTTGCTTTTATGTTGAAAGAAACTAAAATATGAAATGTGATTAGTGCCACTTCTATCTGCGTTTCATTTAATTTCTTTATGCACTTGTGTTTTCTTTTCTTCATATTTCACTTAATAATGTTTCTGCATATCTTGTAAATGATTTAAAAGGCATTTAGGGATAATATTCATTTGGGATTAATATGTGTGTGTGCTTGAGATTAATATTTATTCTAATAATGCAATAATTTTGAAGACTATCTATAAGCTCATATGATCCATGCATATTATTTTACTCTGTTATGCACAGATTCTGATCTCACCAATTTGCATAAAATGGATGATATATCTAAATGTATATTTCTGAGCAAAAGTGAAAAACAACCATACACTTTTTCACTTTTTCAAAAGTAGAAAATAACCAATTCTGATCTCACCTATAGTAAAATTAACCTGACAAAATATCCATACACTTTTTCACTATAACACCTATAATAAAATTAACCTAACTAAATATTCATACAATTTTTCATTTTTTCATTACTAGTGTCCAGACGGGCACTCGCGTGCCCGTTTGTCCGTTTTTTTAATACGCACGAACGAAAATATAAATGATACTTTTTGTTTAAATAAAAAATTTTAAAAATATAATATGTGAAAGTTAATAAGAAGAAGTTATGTGGAAGTTAATAATATGAAGTTATTAAGGAAATTACACAATAAAGTAAGGATAAAAATGGTAGAAAAATAGGTCACACCAAAACAAAATATTCCCTTTATGTATTGTATAGATAAATGCACCAAGACTTTGATGCTGGCGGGGGATCTCTAACACACAAAGAAACCACACATCCAGAGCTTATCACTTCGTTGTGTATGACCTAGCTCTAACCCTTAATAAATTCGAAAGCCTCTGGCAACCCCCTTATTCATTTATTTCATAACTCAAGTCATTAGCGACCCTAAATGCTTGCTTTTTTAGGTTAGGATTGCGCAGACTTAAGAATAACTCAATATTATCCTTTTATAGAAAGTTCTTAGGATTTATGAGGAACTAACACCTTTTATTTGCTACAATTGTCTTCAAAGATAAATGTCATAGGATCCCTAGAATTTGGCGGTCCACATGATACAGTCAACTCTGATTAGATATACTTTTAATGCATGTTTATCTCAAAAACGCAAATTCTAGAACATTCTTCATTATTTTTTTACCTTTTATGCTTTGACGTTAATTCATTTAGTTGTCATTTTAATCTAACAATCATTGAATACAGACATTCCAGACTGTCATCCAAGGACCATTAGATGAACCTGAAAATCCATTTAACATATCCGTTATCAAATGTTACATGTTATAAGAGCTAGGTGATTTGGGCTTTGTCCTAAACCGAAACACAAATGTATATAATATTATAATATACTCTTTTTTAAATATATTTTATAACCAAATTATCAACGCATCTTAATTCAAATGAATTGAGATAAAATTCTTTAAACGCGTGATTTTAAGTTAGTTTCAAAATAAAAGACTATATTTTGAAATAAATCTTTGTATTTAAATCTTACCATGAAAAGAAATATCTCAATTACCTAATAAATTTTTTTCTTAACAAATCAAAATAAAAACACGTAAAAAGTCTCTTCAAAAAAATTAAAATCATATCTATACCTATTCCATCTAAATAAAAGCAATTAAGTCAAAAACGCGACCAAATTCAAAGAAAATAATATCGTCTGAAAAAATATTCCTTAACAAACAAATTTGTTAGTAAAAATATTTAACAAAGAAATTTAAAAAATGATCTTATATGATTCGGTTAAGTCTAGGGTGAGGGTCAATTAAGTCCCTGTGAAACCCCGAACAATAACCAATAGATTAAATGGATGGTTTAGATTTAATATAATTAAAATGAGAACATGTAAAATCAATTACAACTAATTCCTTATACACAAATATTACAATATTCTTACTTTTCGTAAGAAGTTTTTTCACGTAACAATTTGTTTACAACTTCATCATCTTCATTATGTTTCATAGTAATTAAAAAACTTTTTGTCGCAAAAGCTACAACCTACAACACAACATAGAAACAAGGTTTTACAATTTTCTCTCCATTGAAAGTTTTATACCAAAAACAATGTTTCAATTACAGACTAATTGGACCGCTGACTTCACAAGACAGTTGACCGGCAAGGTCGTCGGAGAGGATTCTAAGGCTGAGATTCATTCAAATCAAAACCAAGAAAATTTTCTGGTAAAGTTTCTAATTCTCTAATAATTATTATTATTCTCTTTTAATTTTAATCGTTGGCTCTCTTTTCAGTTCAGATTCATGTGAATTGAATGTGTTTTTTGTATCCGTGGATTGTAATAATGATAACGTTTTAATATTTTTGATGTTGATATTTGATTTTGATTGTGTTGAATTTTATTGGTATTGTTATGATATTTTGCAATTTGCAATATCAGAATCTCTCACTCTGAGATTGAAAATTTAACGAGAGATTAGGAAGCAAATTCTCTCCGCATATTTTCGTTTCTCACCGGCCACCGCTAGTGCTAGGTAGTACACACTGTTTTTTCTACTTGTTCATTGATTACCACTTTTAATCTGGTTTTTGTTTTCATTTAAATTTGGAAAATTCTGAGTTTTAACTTGTTGGTGGTTTGGATTTTTGAATGTTATTAAGAATTGATTCTTATTCAAAGTTATCCACATGTGTTGTTAAATGTGGAGATTTTTTTATTAAAAATTGATTCTTATTATAAGAATATAAAAAAACCATTCTTGCATATTTCACTCAAGTAACAATCATACGTTGGAGATGTTATGCTTCTCTTCCTTGCCTATTATTTTATGCATGTTGGAGATGTTAGAGATTATTGATTCCTTTAACTATAAATGATTTCATTAAAAATTATTTTTTCAATTAAATTATATGAGTTAAAAATTATTTTTTCAATTAGATTATATGAGTTTGTTATATGTAGTCTAAAATATATTAATCCCATAATTGGTTACATAATTCGTGCAGGAAATAGAGAAAGAGCATTGGTACCATTAGTAGAATAGTTGTAGGCAGTATGGAGGTAAAAGGAGAAATTTTTAAATACTAGTATTATTGTACTTTGGCAGTTATGTTAAAACTATGTTGTTTGTTGTGATAAGGACTAGAAGACTTGTCAACTGGAGTAGTTGATGAAACAACATGCGAGACCACTGTTGTTGATGACATTAGTGCTGAGGATGAAGAATCTATTGAAAAAATTATAAATATTGATAGCATGGAGGATATTCTTGGCATGAACCTGAAAAGATTAAAAGTCCCCATGAGACAAGGAAATTTCAATTTCCAAGTCTAGACATGGCTTATGAGTTTTACAACTAGTATGCTAAAATGAACTGGTTTGTAGTTCGCAAGAGTAAGATCCTTCGAAGTAAGAAAGGAAAAAAATTACAGCGGACATTTTTTTGTCACAGACAAGGGTTTAAGGAGGATAGAGGTTTAACGATAGAAAATCGTAAGCGTGAGTGTAAACCTGAGACTCGGTGTGGATGTGAAGTAAAATTTCAGTGCATATAGACATGGTCTCACAATGTTAGTGGATAACAGTTTTTAATGATCAACACAATCATGAGCTTTTAGATGAAGAGTACCATGGAATGCTTGCTTCACATCGAAAAATGAAAGAGTCATATATAATGCAGATGAACGACATGTTGAAGGTTGGTATAAGGCCGTCTCAATTCTATGGTTCTTTTGCCAACCAATCAAGAGGGTATGAAAAAAATAGGGTTTCGTAGGAAGGATATATATAATCAAATAGGAAAGCAACGCCTTTTGTAACAATGTGATGGTAAAAATGCTTTACACTATCTTCATGGGCTGCCATCAGATGACCCGATGATGTTTTATCGCCACATTGTTGATGGAGAAGGTAGGCTTGAACATCTTTTTTGGTGCGATGGTATAAGCCAAATGGATTTCAAAGTTTTTGGTGATGTGTTGGCATTTGATGCAACATACGGGACGAACAAATACCATTGCCCCTTAGTGATATTTTCTGGAGTTAATAACCATAATCATAATATTATATTTGGTGGTGCTATTGTTGCAAATGAAAAAGAAGAAACATATGTGTGGGTTATTGAACAAATTTTAGAAGCAATGTCAGGTAAGTCGCCTATATCTGTCATTATTGATGGCGATCTTGCAATGAAGAAAGCAATACAAAGGGTGTTTCCAAATGCTTATCATAGGTTGTGTGCTTGGCATCTAATTCACAATGAAATGTCTAACATTGGAGTTCCTGAATTTATTAGTCAGTTTAGGAAATGCATGTTGGGTGACTAAGACCTATGCGAGTTTCGACGCAAGGGGGATGACATGATTGACACATTTGGGTTGCATGACAACAAGTGGGTAACTGAACTATATGCAAAGAGAAAGATGTGGGCTACAACTCATATACGTGGAAAGTTTTTTGCTGGGTTCAGAACTACCTCCCGGTGTGAGGGGTTACATTCAGAAATGGGGAAGTTTCTTCAGTCACGATATAATTTAACTGAATTTTTATTACATTTTCATTGGTGCCTTAATTACATGCGCTATAAGGAGGTCGAAGCTGACTTTGCATCAAATTACGGCGATCTTGTGCTACAAACAAGATTTCAAAGCATGGAGCGTTGCGCTAGGAAGTTATTTACAAGGGAAATATTCTTTATGTTTTGTGATATTCTTGCACGGTCCGCAGAGATGGTAGTGGCAACATGAAATCAAACCTATACATGCTTTATATACATAATTTGCAAGTATCAAGCATAAAAAGGGAGTGGAACGTATCATTCTATAATAATGATGACGTGTTTAAATGTTCTTGCAAGAAGATGGAATCATTTGGCCTCCCGTGTGAGCATATTATTGCACTATTGATTTTTTTAGATGTCACAGAATTGCCAAAGACTCTAGTGGCTAATCGATGGACAAAGAATGTGAAGAAAGAAATATGTAGCACAAATAAGCATCTTCCAAAATACTGGGATTCATACAAGGCGTCAAGATATTGTGCTCTTATGTTTCGATATATGCGTTTGAGCAAATTAGTAAGTGAGAATCGTGATGATTTCAATAACCATATGAAACAAGCTGCTGATGATATCCGAAAGATGGAAGAAAAAAAGGGCTCACATGATGGTGGAGCTACAAATTCAAGTGAAACTGTCCATGAGACATTGAAGGATTCTGCTCTAGCTAGAATTAAAGGATGTGTTGGGGAATCTTCAACACGTCAAAAAAAAAGGAAGCGGACTCAATGTTCTACTTGCAGAAAATTCGGGCATAATAAGCAAACATGTTCAATACGTCGACATCATGCTAACACGACACATTCAGCACAACAGCAAGAATAACCACGACACAATGGTTTTGAGGTCGCATCTACCGCACTTGACCATGATACATTGACAAGAACCATTATTTAAGACCCTATCACTGAACCATGTCATTTTATATATGTGAAATAGAAAATAACTATTATGTTATAAGCTCATTCTAACATCTTCAAACTACAAACTTTCCTTAATTCGTCTACCTAATTTCACTCAAAAACACTTGCAAGCTTATTGATAACATGACTTCTATACTAAGATTGATACAGTCAATGCAAGAAATTGGATGAGTCAATCCAATTTCAACAGCTATAGTTACATTATGTCAAAACCTATAAAAGATTTTTCCTTCAAGAACTGCTTGTACAGAAAAAGAATTAGGTTGACAAGAACCATTATAGCGGCCACTGTTTAAATCCCTAACACTGAATCAAATTTGTAGTAACAAAAAAAGGGAATGAATAAGGGTATCTTTCCAGGATTATTTATGAAACCATGAGCATTAACTAAATTCATCAAATATGAAAAAGAGCACTGAGTTTAATATGAAAAAGAACACTTTCTGAAAAGGGACAAAACTTGAAAAGTCCAAATTTAATAGGGACCAATTCTCCAATGCTAACACACAAAATTGAATGTGTATGTCAGGCTAAAAGTTGATATCAGTAGTCCAACCATTTCTAATTTCAATTTATGATTACTAATAATCAAACCAACCCTTGGAAAGAAAGACTTTAGGAACCTGTTAGAAACTAATTGAGAGCTATCATAGGATACAACTAACTAAACATATAACTAAATCATCATGGTATCTGTAACCTGAAAAGGTTGTATCAACATCTTTAATATAATCTCACCAAGCATAACTACTTGAAAGATCGTGAACAAAATACTCTTTCAAACAAAATTCTAATAAGCATAACCTTAAATAGTACACATTCACACAACTTTGTGATTCTAACTAAAACTGATATCCATAATCACGACAGTCTAATTTTCAAGTATCTGACTATCACATAAAAGCATAATCTAACTATGGTCGCATAGGCTGATGGCTGATGGGAAGCTCTGGATGTTGTTTAGAACGCTCTGGATGTTGTTGTTCGGAAAACTCTAGATTAATATTGTTCTATCTTCAATCAAGATCGTTATGCAACTGCAATAACTATATATAATTATAACTATATAATTAAAACAATGATACCATTAAAAAACAACATTAAAGAAATTGCTTACAGAGTCATCACTGAATTCAATGTTGTGAAAATCTTCGTTTGACGAATGTGTCGTGTTAGCATGATGTCGAGTTATTGAACATGTTTGCTTATTATGCCTGAATTTTCTGCAAGTAGAACATTGAATCCGCTTCCTTTTTTAATGACGTGTTGAAGATTCCCCAACACATCCTTTAGTTCTAGCTAGAGCAAGATCCTTCAATGTCTCATGGACAGTTTCAGTTGAATTTGTGGCTCCACCATCATGTAAGCCCCTTTTTTCTTCCATCTTTCGGATATCAGCAGTAGCTTGTTTCATATGGTTATTGAAATCATCATCATTCTCACTTAGTAATTTGCTCAAACGCATATATCGAAACATAAGAGCACAATATCTTGACGACTTGTATGAATCCCAGTATTTTGGAAGATGCTTATTTGTGCGAAAGGATTTGCTTCCTAATCTCTCGTTAAATTTTCAATCTCAGAGTGAGAGATTCCGATATTGCAAATTGCAAAATATCATAACAATACCAATGAAATTCAACACACTCAAAATCAAATATCAACATCAAAAATGTAAAAATATTATCATTATTACAATCCACGCATACAAAAAAGCGCATTCAATTCACATGAATCTGAACTGAAAAGAGAGCCAACGATCAAAATTAAAAGAGAATAATAATTATTATTATAGAACTAGAAACTTTACCGGAAAATTTTCTTGGTTTTGATTTGAATGAATCTCAGCCTTAGAATCCTCTCCGACGACCTTGCCGGCCAACCGTCTTGTGATGTCGGCGGTCCAATTAGTGTGTAATTGAAATCTTGTTTTTGGTAGAAAACTTTCAATAGAGATAAAATTGTAAAACCTTGTTTCTCTGTTGTGTAGTAGGTTGTAGTTTTTGGGATAAAGGGTTTTTTTAATTACTATGAAAATTAATGAAGATGATGAAGTTGGAAACAAATTGTTACGTGAAAAAACTTCTTACGAAAAGTAAGAATATTTATGTAAAAGGAATTAGTTGAAATTGATTTTACATGTTCTCATTTTAATTATATTAAATCTAAACCATATATTTAATCTATTGGTTATTGTTCGGGTTTCACTAGTGAGGGACTTAATTGAACCCTCACCCTAGACTTAACCATATGATTCATTCATTTTGTTTTTAATATTTTTAAGTTTAATTATACTTTTAATTTTTTATTCTAATTTATTTATAAAATTAATCTTTTTATTTTAAATTTAAATAATTACAATTTTTCACACATTTAAAATCGACAAAGTGTCCGTTTTTCTTAACGTGTCACTTATCACATATTATGTTCCACAAAATTTTTTATATATGACTAGCGTCCTGACGGGCACTCGCGTGCCCGTCTGTCCGCTTTTTTAATACGCACGAACGAAAATATAAATGATACTTTTTGTTTAAATAAATTTTTAAAAAAATATAATATGTGAAAGTTAATAAGAAGAAGTTACGTGAAAGTTAATAATATGAAATTATTAAGGAAATAACACAATAAAGTAAGGGTAAAAATGGTAGAAAAATAGGTCACACCAAAACAAAGTATTCCCTTTATATAGTGTATAGATAACATATACATTGATTATATTAGGTTAATTAATGTTCTCAAATAATCACCAGTGTCAATACTTCATAGTTAAGAAAAACTAAAGTCTTGACAATATTGTAGATCCACAGCCCGGGCGGTAGTCTCCACGACCAACATGTTTTCTGCGGCCTCTTTGAAGTGGCCTTGATAAACCTAGCACTCACTTTTTCCTGAAAGAAGATGAAAGCATTATAAACTGTCAAATTTCACTGTAAATATTATATTAAAATGTCATACACACCTTTTGCCCTTCACCCAACTCGGTACCAATAATGCTTTCAGCGCATCTTATAGCCGCATCATGTGAGTCAAAGGTAACAAATCCAAAGTCTTTTCTACGACCATTATCGTCAAATTTATTCATTCTTGATCAACATAACAAATTTTTAAATCCTGTCATTAAAAGTAACTTTAATTAATTTACATGCTAAAATAATGTGTAGAAAATCCAAAAGACGATGGAGAATTGGAAGTCATACCTTAGTAATATCATCGATAACATTGCTTTATGTTCCCCAATTATTATCCTATTAGAATAAACAAATTCTCTTGGGTTAGATAAAAAGAAGAAAATATTTGTTTTCTTTATGATGAGTCTGTGTCTCTTAGTTTCTTTCTTATTCCCTTTCTCTCCTTTGGCTTAAATAATACAAAGAAGTTAATTAATTTATAACCGTTAAGCAGGTTGTTCCACTGTATTTGTATTTATTTGTATAACCGTGGAGCAGTTTTTTCCACTTTATTCAATTGTCAACTCTTTTTAATTAGTTATCAATGCAAGGGTATTTGTAAAAGAAGAAATAATTATTTGAGGGTATTTTTGGAAAAAATTAAAGTCACACCAAAACAAAGTATTTTCTTTATATATAGGTATATATGATAATAGTATGGTTGCATTAAATTTTTAAGTCAAGTGGGAGCATAGGCCCTTAGCATGTGTAGAATATCTACCTTATTGAATTTAATCATTATAGTCTTTATGCTTTGTTAAGAGAAAAAGTTTTCTTTATCATTTAGTTTAATGGCTATAGTTCATTTTTTAAAGATGAATAAGTGAGATGTCGTGAGTTCGAATCTGCGACTCTATATTTAATATTTTTGTATAACTACCAACTGAACTGACTTAATCGAATATCTGTACGTGAATATCAAATTTTATAGAAATACTGTTAATTTTACAAAATTAATCAATATTTAAAGCAACCGTTAAAGTTTTCTTAAATATGCAAACGCAATAAATAGGAGAATTGGTCCACAGTTGAAACAAGAGGTGTTGTTTTTATTTTTGGTCTTAGTTTTGAAGGAATGAAATTAATTAGAGAAGCCATATTCATCAGATGGACCAGACCGTTAGAAACTTAGGTATGTGTTGTTGGTCTTAGTTCTGAAGGAATGCCATTAAATAGAGAAGTCAATTTTCACAAGATTGTCCAAACTGTTCGAAACTTTTGGGTATTTGTTCAACTCAAGTTTTTAGAACATTTTGCTATAAATTCAACAGCATAGACATTGAGAATACTCATGCTCAATGATGGATTTGCATACAGAATTTTCTTCAGAATAATAGACGTGGAATATATTGTTTTGTTCTCTATTATCAGTGTGAAGAACTCCCACTTTATTGATTTATATATAAATAGTAAAATTAAAAAGAAAAAAACAGAATTCTAATAATTTATAATAAGGATTTACAATTTCTATTCAATTTATTCTAATTATTTAAGAAGGTTTTAAAGTAAATATAAAATAAATTTGGATGGGACACGTGTTAAATGGATGAAAACTTGACACTGAATTTTAATAATGATATGAACTCATCACTAATATGAAAATGGACTTTTATTTCGGTTGATTTTTTGTTTACTTTAATTGAATAGTCGAGATAACATAGGGGGTCATAGAAAGTACGTTACTTTTTATTTATTTGATCACTAGTTGAGGTAAAAAGAACATGGAAAACACACAACTTTTTTCCTCGGTTAGACCTTTCAATCAAAGAAAAAAGTTGCATTGGCCATGAGTTTGACATTTTTGTATTTTCAAAATGCCGCGTTGGAATAAGAGATGTAGGAAAAAATTGCAAAGTGCCTAACTTTTCCCTTCGGTTGGAACTAGAATCGAGGTGAAAAAATGCAGAGCGTCTTAGATAGATGCTTGGAAGCGTCTGCTGCAGACATCATA